CGCGGGCGCCGACCATTGAGAATTTTATCATCGACTAGCAGACGCTTAGGTAAGCATATGTCTGACATCAAAGGTATCATAATATTATATCGCTAATAAGCGTCTGTAATTTTATGGGACGCTGTCTTTGTATTATTAAATGTACAAATCATTTCTAAGAATTAATTTAATATAACACCTCCATCAACATTTAAATTAGCGTATCAATCAGTATCTCACTTGATATCACCCAAATCAATTTATTTATGTGTTCTCTGAAATATTATTTTCTCTCTCCATCAATAGTTGTTATATATACGTTTTCATTCTAGTGTAAAATACCATTGTTTTAATTCTCATTAAATTTTTCTATTTAATGATTCATTCTAGTCAACGAAGGAGTAATTTTGAAGAATAGCAGAAAAAATTCCCAACAAACTTTTTTTTTTTNGATTAAAATCACTATCATAAGAAACGCTTCGATGCAAATCTGTAGATAGTGTTTCCTTTAGAGAAATTGGTGAAATATTTTAAAAGCAACATGAACTCTTATTTCTTTAATTATATCCTGATTAGCAGTTCTTTGATTTTAAAATATAATATATGAAGAAATACTAATTATAGTTTTTAAATTTAGTATGAAATTGATATTTAATAATTTAATATTGTAATTTAAACGGAAAAATTATAAAAATACCAAAGAAGTTTTATTTTGCTTTACTTTTACGTGTATAAAAATTTAAAGGGCTTGATACAATAATTATCAATAAAAACTGTTTGTTACTATAAATGAATGCACTGGACTTCAAGGAACTTTCATCAGAATCAAAAATATACTTTTCTAAATCAAATTTTCGTGTTGTATTCAAATCTGCAATTAGACTTTATCTAAGTTTGAATTTTACGCTGTGTCAGATTGGCAACCCGGATGTCGGGCAGTCCGCTTTTCTTAAATAAAGTTGTTTCTCTCTCTTCTAATTTTTTATATTATTACTAGTTACAAATAAAAAAAAATTAAAAGAAAAAAATTGTTTTCAAATCATTACTGATTCGATTTTTAATATGTTAAAAATAATCAGTCCAATTTTTCATTTTTAACCTTTTAATTTTTGGTTCTTCAAAGTTGGTGAAAATTTTTTGANGTTCTTTAAAGTTGATGAAAAATTTTTGATAAAGATTTATGAAAGTTTATAGTAAAATAAATTGAATATATTACCATAACTTTTAGCTCAATTACAAGTTTAAAATTGACATCTAGGCCAGTCAACAAAGGAAAAATTTCTTAAAAAATTCCCAACCAAATTTTGTTTTATTAATAGTTGAATTAAAATATGTATAATGACATACTAATAGTCCTCATTGATTGAAATTGAGCTTTTTTAATTTTCTCAAAAAATATTTAACTTACAAACAAAGTTTCGTACAAAAGTTGTTTAAAAGACAATTATAAACAAACAAATTATCTCATATTTTTTCATTTAAATAAATATTTTTCGAGTTACATTACATTTAATATGAGTACTAAAATTTATATTCCATTTTTTTCATTTTACGGTTACTTTTTATCATGTTATACTTACATTAGACACAATGTTATAAATGCATATGTGTGTATGTGTGAGTTTATTTATTTATTGTATCATTAAAGTGTAGTGTATATTAATATACAAGCGATAGAGTAGGTAATTGATTTGACGCTATATTGTTTAAACCCAACTAAACGCTAAATTGTACATTCCCAAACAACAATTATATTATGTCAATTGCCACCGGAATTTCTGGTAAACTTTTTCTTTTTCTTTGCCTTAATCCCAACTACTTGGGGTCGGCCACCCTTATCCTAAGCTTCCACTTGACACGATCTCCCACATCTTCTACGCTCACATCAGCTGTCCTCAAATCGCATTCAATAGCATCCCTACATCTCTTTTTTGGTCTTCCTCTATCTCTTCTTCCTTCAACATTCATTTTTATAACTGCTCTTACAGCTTCCGATTCTTCTCTCCTCATAGCATGACTAAACAATCTAAGTCTATTTTCTGTCATCTTATCCACGATTGACGCAACACCTATACTTCCTCTTATATGCTCGTTCCTTATCCTATCTTCTCTAGTCACTCCACTCATCCAACTAAGCATTCTCATCTCTGCTACACTTATTCTCTGCTCTACTTTCTTATCAACCGCCCAACACTATGAACCACACATCATAACTTGCCTCACAATTTCATACTGAATTTAAAAACTATAATTAGTATTTATTCATATATTATATTTTAAAATCAAAGAACTACTAATGAGAATATAATTAAAGAAATAAGAGTTGATGTTGCTTTTGAAATAATCCACCAATTTCTCTAAATGAAACACTATCTACAGATTTGCATCGAAGCGTTTCTTATGATAGTGATTTTAATCACTGTCAGATATCATCTATACTTGTCCCATCTATGCCTCGTTCACACTGTGCCTCGACCCCACTGTGCTACCGTTTTTTTATTTTTGTTATTTTCACTTTGATGCAATATTTTCTTCAATGCGCGCTTGCGCTTTTTGTACATCATTTGGTGGCAAGAGTGATAAGACGTGGTTGTCGGTTTGGCGGTATACAGAAAATCTTGATAGCTCCCGAAATTTTCAACGTTTTTTTGGTGAAACCAAACAGAGCCTCTATCCATAACCGAATCTATTTCGATAAAATCAGCTGTGCTATTCAACTTTAATCGCGATCATTACGATTTTACTGTGATGTTGTCAACCTTACTATTTTGTTTCACTGACTGATGAGACAAACCTAACGAATAAAATTGTTTAAAAATTGTTTAAAAAATGATTAAATTGTTTTATTTTTTTTTTTTTTATAATTTACTTGATATGTTAGCGGAAGATAATGATGATGCGAACGATACATCTATCGTTGAAATATATATTAATAATACGTTCCTTATATTTAATTATGTAGGTAAATTAAATATATTATTATTCTATAATAATTATGTAAGTAATATAATAAACATAGCTAAGCAATGTAATGTAGACAGAAAATAAAAAATAAGAGATGTAAAGCTTCTCAGAGAACTGCATATTATAATTGTAAGAGCATGGACTAGGGGGAATATCTTAAAGTCGACTACTAAAAACATGTTTTGATAAAAAACAAACGAGGGCAATTAGGGGGTAAAATAATGGAAATCAGTGCCACCCCTAGCTGTAGTATTGACATGTAAAAAAAAAGTGTTACCACTAATGCGTTTCAATTAAGTTAAGTTAAACCAGGTTACGTAGGGTTTTGTGGCCATGGGTTAGTTTGTGATCCCGTATCGCATCGCTACAATGCATGTGATCGGGCCCTACAGGGCTACGAAATGTCGGCACGAACGCAGTTTCTCTAGCTCGGAGAGTCAGGCGCGTCTTCAGGTTGCGGATAGAGGAACGGCTTGCAGATATGCAGGTTAGCCACGAAATAAGCATTCCGTTCATTTGGACTGACGAATAAGCAGTCGTGGACAGCGAGTTGCCTAGATGCTTGTTAACTCTGTAAATATACAGGGTAGCCGTGAAATAAGCCTTTTGATACGAATAAGCGGTAGCTTTTGGGTGTGAACAGAGATAAATGGTTACGCAAACAGTATAGTTAGCCGCTCACTGGTCGGAGGGATTGGCTACGAGGGCTACTCTCATAAAATCATTTTTATGATGGAACAAGATGGATTACGGTTACTGCATCAGGGGAATCGGATGCCCCAGTGCCGACAGTTAGTAGGGGGCGTACCCTCCAGGTATCGTCATTAATTAAACACGCGCTAAATGCAGGAGTATTGAGGCAGGCTCCTGTAGCAAAATACAGGGTTGGTACTGCGACTGCAGGGACTGCAGGTGACCAAGCTACTCCCATTGGTGAAATAGCCAGTAGGTCATTGGCAAATGATTGCTCGGGTAATACTGGAACGGACATGATAACGGTCATCCATCCAGATGCTTTAGCAAAACCCTATCTATATTGGAGAGATTGCAAATCGCACCTAGAGGTGGTTTAGCAAGGGTGGGACCTTCTGGTCCGACTACTAAAGCGTTTTCTGAATTTTCTAGCATATATTTAAACACCAAGATTTACTTAGAAATAATTATTAATACTTCTATTTAAATAATTTATTACAATAAAAATTGTAAAAAATAGTGGCTTTAACGAAATTTAGAATTTTTATTATAAATTTACTGTTTATAGTAATTATATAAGTTCCTGATCACATATTAATCCAAAAGATACAATTTTATATTCGTCATAAAATTTTATACTTAATTATATGAATTCCAAACTTGAAAGTTGAGCTAAAATAGTTTTTAAGAGTTTAATTTTTAATATATAAACTTTCATAAAAATATACTTGGAAGGATCAAAAAAATTAGTTAATGGCATATTTAATTGAAATTAGTGATGCAAAAATATCAAATAATAACTATCGGACTATTCGATAGTCATTCAAAAAACTATTCAAATAATAAAAATATACAATAGTTACACAATATATTCGAATAGTTCTTAAAACTATTCGATAGTTTAGCTAAAAATAAACTATTTAGTTTATGGAATACGAAGCTAAAATACATAAACAATTTTGTTCATATAATTTTTTTATTCAATCAATCATTAGTTTTTTTAATTGTTTAAAGATTTTAATTCAAAATAGAAATTAATCACTAATTTTGTTTTTATAATACCGAAGGCAACAATAATCTGCTTAAATGAGCCATAAATTATTTTTATGGTAGTATCAAATATTTTTTCTGGATGAATAATTTATAATTTTTAAGCAAGAAAATTTTAGTAATGATATAATGTAGGTTAAAATTAACATTAGAAAGAAGATGAGAATAAGATTTAATTTTCTGTTATAGAAGATAAAATAGCAATGGAAATAGGAGAGGACGCTGAAAAAAATATTTAACAAATAAATTAGCTGTATCATTACATGAGTATTAATTATGTCATCATTTGGACATAATTGTACATAATTGCACACCTTGTTCAAGTAATTGATGTTATGCTATTTTCTTATTTAACGATAACATATTTTAATAATAATGAAACAATCTGGTATATTTTAATTTAGATAGTCATAGTTGTATTTATTCAGTTATTTACACTTAAGAAAAACATGAAAATGATTTCTTCAATTTTTTTTCACCACAATAAGGACAATATCCCTTTGATTCTCTATATAGGACTTTAAAACATTTCTCACAAAAAATTTGAGGGCATCGAGATGAATAAGTGTAGATTCCTTGTTGCGATTCACACTTCGTACATAAACGGATTGGTTCGAAAATAGTAACTAAAAAATTAATAGCACAATATTAAATTTTATATTTAATAGTGATTTTATTATATAATGCTAATAAGTAAGCAGTCGAATTGACGTGCGACCACTGTTCGGATCTCCTGAGAAAGGCAGTCAATGCTCTGCACACCTTCATCTGGCGTGGACCCAGAAGCTGGACTATTTAAAGTCCCAATGGGGGTACACGTCCGAGTCAAATCCTTGGTGGACATAATGTTAAAGACTCGGAAGGAATAATTTCTCGTATATGCACCAAAAAGAATCAACAAAACGTCTGCGACAAAATTAGTCTCGACACCCAGTCTAGGAGAAGCTGGTTTAGGCTGGTGCCATTGGAGAACGTATACAAATTTTGGTATGTTTTTTGTGCGTTATTAAGCCCCGATCTTCACAAAGTACTGCCCCCACTTCCACTTGGTGCAACCCTAGTAAAGAAACCGACTATTAGGTTCGGCTTAATTCCCCCCTTCTGTACCCCTACTAACAAGAATGGCATCATATAAATGCTCTTTCTGTTCTTACTATTTATATTTGTGTTAACTATTTAATTTGACTAAGTTAAACAATTATTATTTGAAAAATATATTTTTGTTACGTTAATGAAATATTTAAGTACTGCACCATGCACATTCANGTTACGTTAATGAAATATTTAATTACTGCACCATGCACATTCAAATGTGATACATATTTGGGGTAAATAAATAATAAAATATGGTAAATTTCGAGAGCTTATAACTTCTATAATATTTAAACTTAAAATCAAAAATATTTAAATAACTGACGAAAACGATGAAACTAAAATTTTGATAAAAAAGAAAATCATAAAATCTGCTCCAGTCTCACCTTTTATTAAGCATATGGTTTGGAATAATCACGCGATATTATATGTAAACTGTTACGCAATATTAAATCATGCACTAATGACATAAGAAAACATGAAAGTAAGAGGTCAACTCTCACTATTTAAAAAAATGGAAGTAAATTGAGGTCGCAGTATAGTGGGGATGTGGCATAGTTGAAAAAAGTAAAGTTGATTATGACAGTTATTAAAATCACTACCATAAGAAACTCTTTGATGCAAATCTATCAATAGTGTTTAATTTTGAAAAATTGGTGGTTATTCCAAAAGCAATATCTACTCCTATTTCTTTAAGTATATTCTGATTAGTTATTCTTTGATTTATAAGATTAACAACAATTTGTAAATTTTTTTGAATATAATTTTTTTTACAAAAATTGTACTATTAGCTTTGATGCGAAGCTGAGAAAGTATTAATTTTACTGTGATTTTTTGTCTGTTGCTATTTTTCAGATTTCACTAGATCAATTTCTTTCAATGATACGTCAAAAGATGACAAATCGTATCGTATATTTCCCTCATTCCTTTTAAATGGCGTAAATCCCCCAAGAAGTTACAATTTTTAAAATTCATAAATTTTGGCATTTTTTATCACTTTATTTTCTTAAAACTGCTATAACTTTTTGAAAAATGAACAAATTTACATTTTGTTTTTATTAATATTGAAACCTTAAAGTAACCCTTTTATATGATACCATTTTTTTTTCAAACTGAAAGGGATTCAAAATAGCAACTTGTTTTATAAAAACCCAGCACAGGGGGGTCGCGGCACAGTGGTGACGTGGCATAGTTGGATTAAGTATAGATGATATCTGACAGTGATTAAAATCACTATCATAAAAAACGCTTCGATGCAAATCTTTAGATAGTGTTTAATTTAAAAAAATTGGTGGATTATTCCAAAAGCTACATGATCTGCTAGTTCCTTATTAATATCCTGATTAAAATGAAGTAGGTCGAATGAAAAATTTGTTCAACTTCGACTGCCATTTACACATAGAAGATAGGTTGTAGGGACAAATTTGTTTTTTAAATAGTTTACTTCTTAGCTTCGCACAGAAGCTAAAATAAATGACAGCCATACGATTTGTGATCTTTTGACACATTGTTCATCAAAATCGGTCTTGTGAGAGCTAGATTAAATAACGACAGACATAAAAAAAACAAACATTATAGTAAAATTAATACTCTCTCAGCTTTGCATCGAAGCCAAAATTAAAAAACCCAGCACGGGGGGTCGCGACACAGTGGTGACGTGGCATAGTTGGGTCAAGTATAATGATATCTGACAGTGATTAAAATCACTATCAAAAAAAACGCTTCGATGCAAATCTTAAGATAGTGTTTAATTTTAAAAAATTGGTGGATTATTCCTAAAGCTACATGATCTGCTATTTTCTTATTAATATCCTGAATGAAAAAGGGATTATTAAAAAATATTATTTCTCATAAAAAAGTTATGTTGATCCATACAATTTTCAATATGTTATAGCATTATAAAGTTAAAAATTTAAAAAAGAATTTTTTTTATTAACTTTGATGTCTGTTTTCACCATGAAGATAAAATAAAGTCCGAAATTTTTTTTTACCATAATAAAGTATATTACATTAGCTTTAATTTAAGATATATATAAAAGTGTCACCCTGTATATACCCCTTTCTTTCAATAGACTTTTTTTTTAATCGGAAAGTTTACCTTTCTGCAAGAGAAATTCAAAACTTAAAAACGCATATAAAAAATAGAACTATTTCAACTTAACTTTTGAAAATGTTTCGGAAATACTACATCTTTTCAATATTTGGTGGATTAAAGCATATGTTTCGTTCTATATGTTAAAAAAATAATTTAATTTTAATTTATTTTAATTAAAAAAAAAATTTGTCATTTTGAATACCCCTGTGAGCAGATAATGGATCAGCAGATTAATAAAAAAATATACCAAATGGTAGGTAAAGACATATGCATCTATATAAAAAAAATTATATTGATTTTATCATTTTTGATAAAGTTATAGTAGTTAACAAAGTTATAAGTTTTATACACTGGACTTTGACAATTTTTGAGGGTAATATATTCAACTAGATACAAATTGTAATAATTTAATGTATTGTTGAAAATAGTAGGTCAAATTAAAGCAGAAAAAATAAAAGAAAGTCATAAAAGAATACTTTCTCAGCTTTTCATCGAAACTAAAACCTAAAATATAGTAAAATTCCTTGCCATACGCGGGTTAAAACCTTGTACCCTAAGCGCGTAAGACATAATTGTTACCGATTCAGCAACCGTACGTCGCTTCCGACGACTGAAAAAATGGCAATATAAGCTAGTTCAAATTTCAAAGTTATTTTTGTCGATTTAAAAAAAGCAAAAAAATTTAAATAAGTTTAACTTACTATTCTATATCAATTTGATTTATATAATTATGAAAATCAGTGTACTCCCCTTGTCAGGTATTTTATAATAAAATAAAACACAAAACCTAAAATTTTAACACAAAAATAACATATTTTTGAATACGGTAGTTATTTTCATCATAAAGGCAAATCCAGAGAACAAATTTTTTTTAGCTTCGATGCGAAGCTGAGATTGGTTTTACTCTGATATGTTTTTTTTGTCTGTTATCACTTTTTCTCAGCTCTCACCGAACCGATTTCTTTCAACGATGCGTAAAAGATCACAAATCGTATCTAATCGAAGACATTACCCTAAAAAGTTTTAAAAATTTCCCTCGATCCCCGTAAATAGGGGAAACCTCCAATAAAATTAAAAATTTAAAAATCGCTAATTTTCAAACATTTTTCAACTTATAACTGCCATTTACTTTTACACTTAACTTTTAAAAGTGTTCAGGGAATTCTGACACTTTCATATATATCTGAAATTAAAGGTAATGTAATATAATTTATCATGGAAAAAAAAAATTTTGGATTTTATTTTGTCTTTACGTTGAAAATGGTTACCGAATGCTATTTTTATGTGAACATTTTATTTTTCACATTTTTAACTTAATAATGCTATAACTTATTGAAATATTTTTTAATAATCCCTTTTCATTCGACATACTTTATCTAAATCACGATATTAATAAGGAAATAGCAGATTATGTAGCTTTTGGAATAATCCACCTATACTTGATCCAACTATGCCACGTCACCACTGTGCCGCGACTTTCCTGTGCTGGGTTTTTTATATGTAAATACTTATTTTTTAATATTACAACTTAGAAGTGATAGAAAAAGTGTAATTGCACATTTAAATAAAGCGTGAAAATTTGATTTTGTTTTTGATGAAAGTACTTTGTAGTACAGTGTATAAAACTTATAACTTTGCTATTAGTAATAAAATATATTAATTGAAAAGTATTGCATCAAGCCCTTTAAATTTTTATTCGCATTAAAAGTAAAGTAATTTTCAACTATTTTATTATTTCTATAATATCTCCGTAAAAATTACAATATTAAATTATTGAATATTAATTTCATACTAAATTTTATTACTATAATTATTATTTATTCATATATTATAATTATAATTATAAATATTTCTAAATAATCTAATTATTAAACTAATTGAGATAAAATTAAGGAAAAAACAGTTATTGTTGCTTTTGAAGTAATCTACCAATTTCTTAAAATTAAACACTATTTTCACATATGCATCGAAGCTACCAGTTCTACACTGGTGATGAATAAAATACTAGTTGACACAATTTAATTATATAACAAAAAATCAGCCCAAAACCGTTTATTCGAGCAAGAAATAAGATAATACAACAATTACAAATAACGTGTACAAAACTAGATATTAATAGAATTAAAAAAAAGAAAGCAAATAAGCAAAAGATGCATTGACCTTGGAAGAAAACGGTGCGATGCGTCTCGGGCGGTGTCATGGAGATGACTAGATGAGTAGGTAAAGAATCAAATATTCAAAAATATATACCAAATGATAATAAATTATCTATTAATAATAAGTATCATAAAAAATGTGTGTTTTGATTCAATAATTTTTCAAAAAGTTATGATACTTTTAAGTGAAAGAAGTTTAAAAAGTCAATAAATAACCAAGTTTAAAAATTGACATTTTTTTCAAACGAGGAAAACGGGCAACGAGGGAAATTTTTTCATTCAAAAAACATCATAGTAAAACTAATACCTTCTCGGCTTGGACCGAAACTAAAATAAAATCTTGGTGAAATAATAGAGCCATTATAATACTATTATTTTGCATATAAAATTTAAATTATCCTAAATTACTCAATCTGGCACTTTAAATGTGATCGATACTAACAATTTTTAAACCTGAAATAAGTATAAAATACCTTCAATTAAGTCTTTTCCGCAAAAACATTCAGTTTTCATTTTATTAAAACAATTTTTACATAAATCTTTATCGCAACATTTCTTGTTTACCAACTCATCATCATTTTTAGTTAGTCTACACTTAAAGCAAATGCGAATACCTTTAAAAAAAACTTTCATTAAAAGAATATTATTATATTTTACTATATATTTAAAACCATATTTTTTTAATTTCGAAAAATAGTTTTTAATTCAATAATAAATGGCATTTGAATTTTTAATGAAACTTAATTTGTTTATTAGATATAAACATTTAAAGTTTCAAATGTTTGAGTTAATATACATGTATAATACACAAGGGATTACAAATACAGGTAGCTAATTGGTTTTTTATGATATTGCTATCACAGTCACGGATTGTTTATTATCAATTATGACTATCAATAGATATACATTCTGTATTGTCAGTTAGTGTATTTATAAACTCACAACAATGTGCCTTACTACCATTGATAATAACAATGCTTTGTACCTGCTAATATCGATGTCATAAAAAACCAATTAGCTACCTGTAATTTTTATCCCTAGTGTATTATACATGTATATTAACTCAAAAATTTGAAACTTCAAATGTTTATATCTAATAAACAAATTAAGTTTCATTAAAAATTCAAATACCATTTACTATTGATTTAAAAACTCAAAAATTTTATTAAATTATAAATACGTGTTACCATTTAAAAAAACAAAGTTGACACCCTTAACAGGCATAAGGGATGAACTTAAAAAGTATTACATAGTAAATAATTCAAGAATAATGTGTAACTAAAGATAGTAATAAAAAAAAATTTTTTAATTATTATTATTCTGTAAGTAATTGAGTGGGTTATGATAAAAAAAATCACCCTGTATATGTCTGAGCCTGACCAGGCAGTGTCAGGGACTCAAAGGGTGTCTGTGGTTTCTCCTTCTACGGAGAATCCAGTTTGCATGTATCTTATGACTGATTTAATCAACCCTGTAATGGACGATATCCGTCACCAAGTTAAATCTATAATAAATTTAAGTACTGAGCACAAATCGAAATTGTCTGAAGTGTTGTTTACCTGTCGGACTGCTTTTAACGACAGACCTAGGCTAAACAACTTGTACACGTGTCGTTTTGATGTTATTAAAGATGAGCCATTTAAGGTGAAGCCGTATCCAATACCATTCTAACAGCGTCCAGCGGCCGAGAAAGAATTAAATCGTATGTTTGAATGGGAGGTGATTGAACGTAATTCGTCACCTTATGCCAACCCGATCATCTGTGTGAAAAAACCAGACGGATCAGTTAGACTTTGTTTAGATGCTCGACGTATAAATGCTATTATAGTTCCAATGAGGGATTCTTCTCCACCTTTAGACGAGATATTGGCAAGATTTTTTGGGAAAAAGCTTTTTTCATCTATTAATTTTTCATCTGGTTATTGGCAAATTGGACTTTATCCAACGGTACGGAAATATGTGTCTTTTGTGTATAATGGTCGTACATATTCATTTACGCGTATACTATTTGGTCTGAATATATCAAATACTGCTTTTGGAAAAGCTTTGGAAGCGTCCCTTGCCAGTTATTCATTTAATTCTACTTCAGAACATATCAATAAAATTCAAACCTATGTAGATGATGTACTTATTTCTACTGTGTCTTTTGATGATCACCTGCAGTGTTTGTCAGAGTTGTTCGAAAACATACTTAAGTCTGGAATGACCCTTAAAATATCGAAATGCAAGTTCTTCAAGGAAAAAATTTAATTCCTGGGACATATTATTATTCCTCAAGGTTTGACCATGGACAACAGTAAATTAGAAGCTGTACAAAATTATAAGAATCCACGCAATAAAAAAGACATACAATCCTTCATAGGCTTTTGAAATTTTTATCGGAAATTTTTAGGCTACCATGCGTCTCTGATGAACTTATTAATTGAATTGTTGTCATTACCTACTTGGAAATTTACCGAAGAAAATAAAAAACAGTTTGAACTTATTAAGTCTTTATTTGTTAATGTTATTTTAGTACATCCAGATTTTAATGCTGAGTTTTGTATACAAACAGACGCTTCCAAACTTGGTTTAGGAGTTGAACTTTTTCAAATTGATTCGTCTGGTTAACGTAATTCAATTGCTTTTGCTAGCCGCCTGCTCAATTCTGCAGAAAAAAATTATTCAATTACTGAAATTGAATTACTCTCCATTGTCTTTGCCTGCTCAAAGTGTCGAGTTTTTTTACTAGTTAACCATGTAAATGTCATAACTGATCAAAACCTCAAACTTGTCGAGTCGAAGGACTTATGAAAAATATTCAATACAATGCTCCAAATGAGTTTGTGTTTGTTGATTTGTATGGACCATTGCCTGCTGGTTGAAATGGAGTATCTTATTTGATTGTGGTAATGGATCACTTTTCTCGATTTGTTCAACTATATCCATTAAAAAAAGCTACCGGTGTTTTGGCAACACCGGTTGATTGTGGCAATTAATCGAAAAATTAATAATTATATACCGGAACGGGGTAAACCCAAAATTATAGTCTCTGATCATGACAAACAATTTATTAGTAAAGTTTGGCAGTCTAAGTTATCGATGCTTGGATGATTGTGGTAATGGATCACTTTTCTCGATTTGTTCAACTATATCCATTAAAAAAAGCTACCGGTGTTTTGGCAACACCGGTTGATTGTGGCAATTAATCGAAAAATTAATAATTATATACCGGAACGGGGTAAACCCAAAATTATAGTCTCTGATCATGACAAACAATTTATTAGTAAAGTTTGGCAGTCTAAGTTATCGATGCTTGGATGATTGTGGTAATGGATCACTTTTCTCGATTTGTTCAACTATATCCATTAAAAAAAGCTACCGGTGTTTTGGCAACACCGGTTGATTGTGGCAATTAATCGAAAAATTAATAATTATATACCGGAACGGGGTAAACCCAAAATTATAGTCTCTGATCATGACAAACAATTTATTAGTAAAGTTTGGCAGTCTAAGTTATCGATGCTTGGAATTCCACTTACATTGACAAGTGTTTATCACCCACAGTCAAATTCGACAGAACGGGTGATGCGAGAAATAGGACGCTTGTTTCGTACTTATTGTTCTGAATATCATGCTAAATGGCCTCGCTACGTTTCATATATCGAATGAGCTTTGAATAACATCATTCACGAGTCCACTAAATTTAGTCCTATTGAACTTTTCTTTCCAGAAAGACATCAGTCATTGGTTCAAACTATGATAGATTTTCCACCAGGTATTAATATTCCGCTCAAAACAAAGTTTGAGATAGCACGTGAAACTCAATTTACCAAAGCATTTGCTCGAAAACAACATCATGATCGCATAGATCCACACACTACTTTTAATATCGGAGATACTGTGTTGGTGCGATCACATAAATTAAGTTCAGGTGCTGGACAAAATAATCAGTACATTTTTATGTTGTATGATGGTCCATAAATTATTGTAGATGTCAAAAATACTAGTTCATATGTCCTCTAAGATCCTGATAATGGGAAGATTAAGCGAACATATAATATAATCTTTTTGCGGAAGTACAGAAATCCTAATCAATAATTCTACACTGATCTTAAAAATTTGTTTTGTCTTTTCTTTCAAGTTCCATTTTTGTCAGTTCAATCTCTTGAGAAGTTTTGTCGTTTTACGTCAAATCTTCTCAGGGTGGTTTCTGTAACGTGACAAAATGTGAAGTTTATATCTATTATCATTTCATGTGGAATAGATAAATTTACTCTTTTGCTTTGCTAATGGCCGCGCGTACGTTATATCCGGCCGTGTAATCAGAAAACTGTACTGTTGCTGTCAAGGTGAACGCTAAACACACAATATTCTTTATCAATTTAATAATCGTTCCCTGTATGACACATACACTGGCCACCACTGTCAATAACTGTATTATTTTAATATTGTTCATACTTTTATTTTTTTTATATTTTGTAAATTGTTAAGCCGATACCCTCTCCCAAACGTGGTCGTCGTTGTCGGTGTGTCTCACCCGAAATATACTCTCTCTTACCTTAGAACCGCCGTCGTGGTACTTTGCTGTATGCGTACAGCCAACAATTTTTATCCGCGTGTGACATTTTTTTTTTACTATGTATTAGCTGTTATAAGACGTCGGCCTTTTTTCGGCGGCGAAATCACCATCTTCGGATGAGTTCCATCCGAGACTGGGTATCGTATATATTTTTTGTTATACATTAATGTTTTGACCCTTGTTCCGTTAAAATTTATTGCTTATATTATACATGTATTTTTTTTTCTTTGCTCATTATTTACTATGAGCTAGTATTGATATTTATTAGGTTATTGGTCAATGGTGTGTCATGTATACTCAATAAATATATATATTATTTCCACAGTGCCAAAGTACGGTCCGGCCAACCCGATTACAAAAATTATCCATCGCGCCTGTAGTACACGGACTTGTTCCGGTGAGGAAGACACTTCACGTGTAGTGTCTAAAAGTTATGGTTAAAATTTTTTTTTGTCTTAATAATTGTTTTTTTTTCTCTTGTCCCTTCATTTTCAGAGTGGTTTTTACCTTCGGAATTTGTCCACTATTAACTTTACTATCATTATTTAATAAAGTTCTCTTAATATTCTTAATCAACCGAAATTTTTTATTGTGTGAATATCTTCAATATTCACGTGTATCTTATTTTTTTTTACCTTTAAAAATTCTTCCTAGTTTTAAGGTAATGGTCTTCGACATACTAAAGTATGTCCACCACTACAAAACATATTTTGTTTTATTTACAAGGTATCAGTCTATTATAGTCTATAACAATACTTTATATTTTAGTATATATATATAAACAATTTTTTTTATTCAACCATTCACTTTGTTTTATCATAGTATATATATTATTTAATTTAATATTATTTGGTTCACTTATTGTTCAATTTTTTTTTTAAATCCAATTAGGTCTGGATGTTGTTTTTTTATGATCAAGACCCTCGTCTAAGTGGTTGGCGACCTGACTTTCCTTTTGCAATGGAGCCATGAGGGTGGCGACTTCACAAAAAGTCGTCACCTCTCAATATTTACAATTATTTGTGCAAAATATCTATTTTATTTTATATAAGA